AAAAACATTTTTGTATAAAAATAATTTTAAAGGACTTATAATTTAAAAGAAATATTGCGTTTTAATCTTGCATATTACAATGCCATGAAACAAACACCCGAATTTGAAAAATCAACAAGATTTTTTTACTGCATTTGCTAAAAATTATAAAAATTTGAATTGTTAGTCTAGTTTTCTTTTTATATAATGACTGAATTCCCAATAAGGTATAAACAATGAACCGTACTCACATATATAAAACACCCAAATTGAAACAATTTCTGCTAAAATAATTAATTCAAAGAATGTTAACCAAAAATCCAAATATTATGATTCTTCAAATACAAATAATTTTTAAAATAAACATTTTTATTTTTAGAAACTGGAATGTTCTGAACACACAAAAATCAGGACAACAAAGAACACTGTCTAATTATAATTTATACAAAATAAATTTTAAACTTAATATTTTTAACTTTAATCATTTTGTTTAAAAATTACTCAAGAAAATAACTATTAAAAAGGAAAACTCTATATTTTTATGAATTGCTAACGCATGATATTAAAATATAAGGCAGTATTTTAAAATAAGATTGGGGAAAAAGCCACAAAATAGAGATGAACCATAATTTGTCTCGAAAATTCGAATGCAAATTCTTGAGATTACAGTATCATTTCCTTTCTGGTTTATTTCCAGGTATAAAACCAAGTACTCATTTCAACTCTATATGAACTTAAAAATCTACCAGGATTACCCACTTTTAATTTTAACTATTGAAATCATTTTCGTTAAAAACTTTCTTTATTGCTATTGTAACATTAAATTTACATGTATTCGTTTACAAGACCAAACTCTCTATTACAGCAATTCTATCTGCTATTGTAAATAGTCATTAGTACAGTTTTCGTGTAAATTTTTAAAAACATTTTGTGTTGGCTATCAAGGTTCCTACTCAATTTCAGAAAGAAAAAAAAATTCCCTAACTTTTCCAGGTAAATTTCAATGAAAATCAATACCATACTTTATCCATACTAGGAAATTTTTCATCAGAAAATTTTGATTCGTTTATTTGTAATGCCAAATACTAGACTTTCCGTGTATTTCAGTTTGTCTAAAATGTGAAATTTTTATAATAAATAATTGTAATCGATGTTAGAAATATTTAACTCGAATCTCGATAACTGAGTATTGTTACTGACAATTTTAAGATTGGTTTTTTTCCAGGTATAGTGAAGGAATTTTCCAGGTTTTTGTAAAAAAAATTGTAATGTTCCCTGATTTTTGGAGTTGAAATAAAATTCCCTGACAATTCCAGGCTTTCCCTGATCCGAGGGAATCCTGGACTATGCGACCTGGTAATAAACAGGGTTCTAAAATCAAACGTTACATTTGCATCCTCTATTAGCGATCGCAACTCCACCTGGGGAGAAGAACGGCTCCATGTCTTGACTCCCCTTTCCTCCTCTTCTCAGTAATATAGGAATGTACAACGATATTTTCCCCTTTTCTTAATATTTTTCGAATTTAATTGTTCCAAATATTTTTTAAAAATTCCACGACGCTTTCTTCTTACTTATAGGTTTTTAATCTATTTGAAAATCAAGAGAGAAACTGACATACTTCCTTCTTCTATGACATTCCACACGCTAATGGTGAAAGCATCTTTACGCCACCTATAGGCCATTTCGATCGCTAATAGTTTAATTATTATTCTTTCGGATTGCGAATGTTCTCAGTAACAAAATATATGCATAAAAACTGAATTTCTGAGAGCGGTAAAATCTCTTTTTGGAATACCCTGTTAACATCAAGCTTTTTTTTTCTTTTTTAAATTATAAACTACTTTACATATTTTTATAATCAGAGGCTTACCTTTAATACCGAAAAAACCATTTATTTTTAATCAAATGAACACATTTCATTCTCCTACTTAAAAAAATAAAATTATATTGTCAGTTTAGTTCATTTTGCTCCAAGCATCCAAAACCCTCAGAACGCTACTGAGTAATTATATCAATCATTTCTATACAGGATTTGTTATAATCTAATAACTTATTATGATATACATCAAACTGATACACCCACCAATAAATGCTTGAGTTTCAATTCACGATTGTTTGAGAAAAAGTTTAGTTATAAATGTTCCAATATTTTCAACAAAAATAAAAAAATATATATATTTTTGCAACTTACAATAGCATTTTGGGTAACAAGATCAGTTAATATAAGAGTAAAAAATTGGGACAAAAATCTCCATTATTAGACTTTCAGTACTGAGTTAAGATTATTTTTTCTCTGAAGCAATAATTATTACAGTGCACACTTTTTGAGGCTGAGTATTTGAAAGATACTATGCAAATTTTATGTAAAAGTTTAGATAAAATTTGGCCTCCATAGAGAAATTATGTTTTAATCAGGTGTATCATTAGTAAAATAAATATTGCATTAATTCTTTTTTGCCAAAGGTGGTAGCAACGAATCTCAATCATAGTAAACTTAAATTTCTCAAACCAGGCAGATAATAATTAAAAAAAAATTAGTATTAAAAATAAAAAGCTTATGTTGTTAAAATTTAAGTTGAAAACTACAAAGAAATGGAATAAATTTCAATAGAGTTAAGCCTGTTATCAAGTAACAGAAAAAAAAAAATCTCTACTTTTGGCGATTTTCTCCCAATACAGCTTTTATACGAAACTCAGCAATTTCCCTCCATTTGTTTGCTTTTTAAAAATAAAATAATCAGCAGAATAACGAAGGATTTTTGCTACGGAGATGGACTGAACTATATAACAATGTCAGCAAACGACAATTTAAGATGGTTGTTGAAATAGTTTAGTAATATCCATTTGCCTTTGAGAAAATAAAATGGCATCCTTAGTAAATAAATTTTATAACGTAAAAACGGTTATCTTAATAAATTACATCTTTTATCACTAATTTTTAATTTGTTTTGTTTCCTGCAGATACCTGTTTTCACGATTAGAATATATATGTATAAGTATTTTTGTGGGTAAGGTTTTAAATTTCAGAAATGTAAATGTCTGTGCACAGAAAGTAACAAAGCATTATTGACAAACTTTTCATGAAAAACAGATACCTTACACCGATAATTCAAGAACCCTGTGGCAGAATTTTTTCGAGCTATCAGCAACAAAAAACTTCCTAACACTAATTATCTTTCTACGAGATACCTTTAATAACAACAACATATATGTTACTCATTTAAAGTAACAAAAGAGCTGTGCTTACAAACAAAAAAAACTAGATTTTTTCTTTTAATTGAACATGTAATCATTTTTTTTTCTAATATTATGGGTGATAATCTTGCATTTTGTTTGGGGGGGGGGCGAGTTCAAATTATTTCGTTCTTCGCCTTTTGTACAGTACCCTTTTAAATTATTAGGGACACATTAAATTTCTAAAAAATTGTCATTTCTCAGTGTCATAACTTTTTCAAAAATGAATCAATTTACATAAAAATTTCAGGATATCATGTTCAGGTCTTCTACTTTCACCTAAAAATTACTAATTTAATTTATCTCAATTTTTTGCAAAAATTTGCACATTTGAACAAAGCAATTTTTTTTAAAAAAAATGTCAAGTTTGACAAGTTGCTACTTTGTAACAAAATTTTTTGTATAAAAATTATTATTTATGCATTAAAGTACAAGTCATTAACTTTAAAACGCGCTAAAGTAAATGACTTAACGTTTTTTTTTTGACCGAGATATGAGATTTCGAAAATTTTTTTGTCATTTATAGTGAAAACGAAATTATTGTGAATTCGAAAATTATTTAGTATTTATTCTTCAGCTTAAAGAGATCAACCTATTGACTATTTTCTGTTGAAAATTTGTTAGCTATTAAATATTTATTTGTTACGTAAGGTTCGCATAAGTTTATATTTATCACAGTTGAGATAAGTTTAACTTTTGTATTAAAATAGGTGGCAAAATAAAGTTAAATTTCTTAAAAATTTCTTGAGTCGTTTTTTAAAATTGGTATTGCAAATTTACAAATAATGTTCTTGTTTGCAATAATGTTTTAAATAAAAAAACTTAATTAATCCGAATAAGAAAGTTGCAAAAAAATAATACTAAATAATTTTCGAATTCACAATGACAAAACTATAAATGACAAAAAATTTTCAAAATCTCATATCTCGGACAAAAAAAATCGTAAAGTCATTTACTTTAGTCCGTTTTAAGGCTAATGACTTGTACTTTAATGTGCAAATAATAATTTTTATGCAAAAAATTTTGTTACAAAGTAGCAACTTGTCAGATTTGACATTTTTAAAAAAAAAAAAAAACTGCTTTGTTCAAACGTACACTTTTTTGCAAAAAATTGAGAAAAATTAAATTAATAATTTTTAGGTGAAAGTAGAAGACCTGAACATGATATCCTGAAATTTTTATGAAAATTGATTAATTTTTAAAAAAGTTATGACATTTTCTTAGAAATTTTAAGTGTCCCTGATAATTTGGAAGGGTACTGTAAATAATCATCACAATAAAAATAAAAAAAAACCTAAAAATCATGAAATCGGCAGTAGTAATTGCCGATAAAAAGATCGACGACGAAATCAATACTTGATCAGAGGTTATGGAGAAATCAAAAGCAATAACTGCCAAAAATACGATAGAATTATATAATACTCAACATCATGATTAGACTTTTCAAGATTGTTTGAAATATATTGGGATATTTATAAATACCAAAAACACAATCGAAACATTACATCGATTTAGGATACTATCGCTGTAAATTGAGAGCGTGAAAAAAAGATTATCTAAATGCATGATTCAAATATTATGTGTAAATTTCTGTAGAAAAGACAAGTAATTTCTTTTTACTTTTCAAAAAAAGAAAAATCTTTCTGCAAGAACTATGTAACATTCCGCTAAAATGTAGCCGTGTCACTGCGAATCTGCCACGGGGTTCAGGAGTTTTTTGGTATAAAACATTAAAAATTTTTTTATTAACATGATTTTAAATTGATACTTGAACCACTTGTTGCTAACTATTTGAGCACTTTAGTTTTTTTTTTATGCAGAATCAATTATTGATTACTACTCATATGAATTGAAACCCACATATTTGCCTTAATTATACCCCCAAAATGATTTAATACACATAAAACTTCTTATTGTTTGGTTACTTAATGGAAATGAGAAATTATAAAATTTTCTTGATCTCTGTAAGTAACATTTATACATAAGTTTAATACACAACGTTAAGTATTATACATAATGTTTTCAATTAATAAAATTACTCATTACAAAACAAACCTGTTATAATTGGCAACATAATAGGGGAATTATAGGCATTAAATTTCTTTTAAACAAAATTGACGATAAATTAAAGAAAAGAAATTACTAACTCGAACTCAAATGAAGGCTTTGATAAATTCAACCTCGTAATAATGAACCAGTGGAAGATATAATGATTTACAATTTCACCATATGGAAGAAAAAAAAATCTTAAAAATAAAAAATCAGAATGCAAACAGATGTGAAAAAAAATTACATCATTAAAAATAAGAAAGTCAAGTAGTATTTTCGTGCAAATTGCAATTTTTAATTGCCAATTTTAATATTTATTCAACCTATGATAACCGTTAATTTTGGCTAATCATAAAGTTAACCTTTTTTTCTTTTCTTTTTTTGTTAAAGTAGCTTACTTTAAAAGACACTATAGCTACTCTCCCACAAAAACCAAATTTCCTCAGATTTCAAAGGTAAAATTTCTCAACATTATTTCAGAATTCAGTAACATAAATCTGTGCAATTTTAATTGCAATTTAAAAATTTACATACACATTTAATAAGAATTTAAATTAAAGCAAAAAAAGAATTATCTTCAATCTGAATTTATTGATAGTTTATAATATATATATTTCACAACGAAAAAAAAAAAGAACTGCAATTCATGTTCAATGAATTTAGTACAGTCAAACACCGCTGTAGTAAACCTTCAAGGGTGACTGATTAAAACTGAAAACGCTGTAGTAAACCTTCGACATTATAACCGGGAGTTCACAAAAGCCGCAAACAATTTTAACTCATTTTTCCAAACTGCCCCCTTTTATTACACATTATTTAAATAAATGATGCATAAAAAGAAATATGATTTAAAAAAAAAAACAATGTGTAGTAATACAAAATGTGATAGCTTTAATTTTTTATGGCTCTTTCATACGCTATGGACTGACAATGCGCCGAAATAGAATGGGGTTGAATTAATTGTGAAAACGTTGAATAGAACAATCTGAACTGTATCTTTTTGCAAAATTCGAAGAGAAAATAAACATAGTAAAGGAAAAATATCATTTTCAAAAGGGAAAATTAAGCACTTTTTAAAAACACCCCATGAAAAAAAAGCACCTTTAAGGGCTTTTAAGAAATGAAAATCAAAAACAAGCACGTTGAAGCACTTTTTAAAAACGCTACGCAAAAAATTTCAAAATTACCAAAAAAAGGAAGAAAAAATTCAATCCAGGATAGAAAAAATTTAATAATATCCAACAGGACAACATTTTGATCACTATATCTGGAGTTCACTATAGCGGGGTTAGACTGTATAACATTGATGTCAAAGAAAAATAAGAACACAGCAATATAAGCTATGATTCAGATAAAAAAATTTTTTTTTGAAGCCTAATAAATCATAGACATCACTCTGTGTTAAATTGTCTGTTAAGTACTATTGCATGCAAATACTCAGGAGCAGACTATACATGTCTCAAAATTTCAGTTTTTATATGCTTAGCCATCTTGAGAAATATATATAAATTTACAATGCGAAAAAAAGGGGGGGGGGAAAGAACATCCGAATAACTTTTGATCTAATGATCTGATTTTCACGCATTAGGACAAATGGTTCCTATGGCTGACCTCAATTATTCTAATTAAATAGTGCAGATCTATTTTGAGGAAAAAGAATCCGAAACCGTCAAAAAAAAAAAAATTTAAGTCGTAGAAATGATATTCATAACTTAAAATATCGTCTTCACTAATTAACTAGGATAATTGACGTCACCCCTCCTGAAAGCCAATTAAGATAGATTCGAAGAATGTGAAAATCAAAAGTCATTCATGCTCTCAGCCTCCCCCTCCCCTTTTTTTTGCACACTGCACACAAGAAAACAAATATTTCACAGTAACCAACAATACTTTTGACAGCAAATCTTCAACAGCATAAAATAAATAAATTAACATTTCTCAGAACAAAATAAATTGTAGAGGGGAAAAATATGTCTTAATAAAGGCACTAATACTTCATATTTCTATCTGTTTTCCACATCAAAGATTAGAGACATTCACTAATTAGTAAACAACAGACAGAAAAGAGAAAAGTAGAGATAGAGAGCACACGTAGCACCCAGAGCACCAGGTTGTTGTTGTTTAGAAGATTATGTGGAGAGAGAGAGAGAGACAGCAAGCACTTACTATTGTATGCATCAGTGATGACTGGTTTAAACAAGTGTCTATGGAACAGCATGTGTGTGTGTGTGTCACGCTAGAGGCGTGTCTAGAAAAATAGAAAAAGAAATAAGCCAAAAGAAAACACGGCATGTTATATAAAAAGCCAAATAAAAAAAAAAGGTTTTTAATATAATACAGGGTGCGTAGACAGATTTTTTAACAAAAAATAAACACTTTTCAAGAACTTAAATATTTTCAATTGATTGCAAAAAAAAAATCAGAATTAGGTAGTAATAAAAATTATTTTTGCTTATCGTTTAAAGTTCTTAATTTATGATCATAAAATTAAACATTTTCCAAAAACTTTATATAATCATGATAAAATAACCCTAGCAACAATTATATCTTGGCCCCAGTTGGGCTAAAAATTGGCTCGATTCGGTTCCCATATGAACCTGCTCCGAGGGATCCATATTGGGACGTCTAGATTTTCCAATATGGGTCCTATGCAGAGCCAATGTCGGCCTTTGTCGTGCCAATATAGAGCCTATATTGGCTGAATAATGATTATAAAATATCAGGTGAACCTGACAAATCCATAAAGGGCTGATATTGGTTTAAAAGTAGCAGTAAAATATCGGGTGAATCGGACAATTCTAAATAGGGCCCGTATCGGCCCTTTGAACCCTTATCGACCTAAGATTCGTGAATATTGGTCCAATCAGGGCCCAAGTTATTTTGCTGCTAGGAAACTAGTTTCTGTTAAATATTGCAGAGAAAATCGTGCATTTTCTTTTTGTAATTTAGAACCACAATTGACACCGCAAAGAAAAAATATCATTTTAAAAGATAGAAAATTAAGTATTTTTTATAAAAACCGAATAAAAAAAGCACCTTTTGGGGCTCTTAAAAAACGTAAATAAAAAATAAGCACTTTTTTAAAATGCTACACACCTTGTAATAATAATGAAAGAAAAGCAAAGAGGCATGTTAGTTAGCTCCCGCATAGCCGTTTACCCACACTTTAGAAAATAAGTACATTTTGCTTAGCTTTTTTAAATCACACTGAGTAATAATCATGCACACTGTTTGTGAGGAAAAAGTCATACTTTTCATTGTATGTCTCTCTATAAATAAATATCATGTATCACACTGGTAGTGAGATTATTATTTAATAAAAGAAAGTGATTATTTTATTAGAAAAGTAAATAAAGAGTTTGAAATAAAATTATCAGTTAGGAAATGTTTAGTCAGCTTATTTGTAAGAGCAGTGATAACAAGTCTTTTCCTCCCCCCAAAAATTGTTTTGCTACTTTAGATAAAAATTAAACTATCAATTAGTGCACCTCAAATTCATAAAATATATTTCAATCCCTTTAAAGGCAAAAGTTAGCTTAAAAAATAATTATCAGAACTGCAAACTTTTTAAACTAACCAGAAATATAACATAGAAATACACGCAATTAGCATTCAAAAAATTAAATTAGCACAATTTTAAAGTGCATATACGTTACCGTGAATAACCAAAATCAAGAGAATGTAGACTTCCACCGGTGAATGTCAAAAGTATTTGATTCATTCCTTGATATTATTAAACATATACGATATTTTAATATCTGCTGAGGATAAATATCAGTGTTACTTGGAATCAAATTTATTTTATCAATTTAGAACAAGCCCTTTTTATCATCCCATATTTGAACCATTTAAACTTTTCGCTTATAGCATTTCAGATTTGTTATTGCTTTATTCTATCCAATTATTTTTAGAATTGTTGAGAAAAAAATTATTTAGAATTGTGTAGGAAATAATTAAGATCAGTTGCAAACAAAATTTCAAAGCTCAAAGNGGGGGGGGGGGGGATTCACCAAATTATTGCGAAAATTCTTTAAAACTAATTTTTACTACTCAATCGTACTCATAACTCATAAAACATAATAATTGCAGAAAAATCTTATTAGTTGGCACTCCAGAATTCCATAAAAAACAATAATAATAAAATGAACAGAAAACAAAACAAGTAATCTTTATTGAGGTTTAAAATCAAAGCATTATTACAAATATGCAAAGTATTTAGATAGATTAATTCCTCAGACTGCAAAATCTTGTTTCGTGCAAATCCCCTGCAAAAGAAAAAGAAATTACAAATATAAGTAGAAAAGACTACAACTACATTTGTAACTATTTTTTGCTTTTATAAATTAATTGCTTTTCTGATAGCAAGTAGAGTATTTTAACTCAAACTATGTTTTTTTTATTTATGTTCAAAATGGGTCAGTCATATGGTAAATTTAGTATATGGACATCCTGTTTATTGACTGTAAGGAAAAAAAATAACCCTGTTTCAGATTTAAGCGAATATTGTGTGTGACGTAATAGACAACAAGTTATAACCAAATAATAAAGAGGTTTAGTATAGCTCTGCACCAAATGTCACACTAAATAGATTTCAATGTATGAAGTTTTTGAATGTTATATTGTACAATATTAATTTAAATTAATGCATTGTGTAATGCATATACCCTATTTTTAGTAGAATCAATAAAAAAAGAGCGCTATTTTTAAGGAGGTCACTAATAGTGATCAATAATACAATACAAGTTAGGTAAACATTTTTACCATTTTACTCAAGAAGGGTTGCCACTCAAATCTGGAAAAAAAAAATCCCTTTACATATTGTACACACTAAATTAAGAGGAAACAATAATTACAGTGTTCTTGTGTGAGCTATATTGGCATAACTATATTTATTAGTTTTAATTGCTTGAAAAACTTGGATTGGCAATTTTTTGATTAATCGGAAATAACCATTTACTGAGATCTGTACGTTTCCCGACGCATCACGAACAGCGAAGTTCACATGCGTGATGTCGAACATTGTTCCCGATAGTACATCAAGTGCGCGCAAAGAGCATTTCTCCCGATTCTGACATAGATGTCTGCAAGTTCATGCAAAGAGAATTTCCAGCCGTAGGTGTAGAGTGTGGCAATGAGTATAGTTGAACTATAATAGTTTTAATTGCTCGAAAAACAGTTGAACATACTTAAATAATGCTATAGTAAATGAAATAATTTAGTATAGCTGAAATATCATCCTTGAATATCCCATAGATTATGCTTCGAGTGGTCACCATTTTTTAAAAAACGAAAATAAGAAACAAAATTCCCTGTTATTTAAGGTGATTTTCAAGTTCCCTGTATTTTCCAGTTTTTCTCTATTCTCCCAGTGGAGTGGCAACCCTGTCTAAGGCAAGAACCACCCACGCTACCAGTGTGGTACATCAATGAAATAGCATTTCCTATTTGCACATAAGTGAAAAATCAACCCCCCTTTTTTTAAAACTAGTAGGAAAAACTGTTTTTTTGTACTAATGCTAAATTATATATACCAACAAGCTTGATGACATAAGGGGCAAAAACTAGCCTTTCGATAACGCGAATTTTTAACTTAACTCGAATAAATTTGATTATCATAATGTTAAAAATCTTGTATAGCTTATAAAATATAACACTGAAAACTTAACATTACTTTTTAATATATAACTTCAACCACAGGAATGGAATTAATTGCTGAATATGCTTATAATTATTGAAAAACAACTATACTAATGTGAACAATCGAATAAAAGTTAGTTTATGTCTCAGATAGAGATTCATAAAATTTTCTCTTAAAGCAAGCTTTAATGTTTCGTAAATAATTTGTTTTTAGTTCTTTTTTTTCATTTTAAACAAAATTAAAAATAAGACCAAAGGCAGACATCCAATTGCAGATGATTAAAAAAAAAATGCACATTTCAATGATATAAAGAAAATAAAAGTTTGATTTAAAAATATTTTGTATTATACCTATAAAGTTACAAAAGTCATTTGTACATTTAAAAGCTTATTTAAATATATTAAAAGGTAATTAATTTGTGAAATTTAAGATAGTTACAAAATACATTTAAAAGTTTAGTTAAATAAATTAAATAGTACTTACTAAAATAATGGAAATGCTTCTTAAAACTCATAGCTGATGAAACGACTTTATGAAAGCGAACAATCTTTCACACGAAAGGGTTTGTGACAACAGTGTGCATTTATTTGTGTCACAGCTGAAAGGTCTTCCTTCTTAATTTACAAGATTTTTAAAACAAATAATGTTACCATATATAGTATTAAATTATTTACAAGACCCCTAAAATATTTATAGGGATGGGGGAAATCAAGATAAACATTTAACAACCTCATATACAAAATTGTTTTATTTCTAACTCTTGACAAAATTTAATTATTTCATCCTACATAAAAAAAAAGGAAATTTTAGAAGAACAAGTCCATTTCAGTTGAAGATAACTGGAAGAGCTTTAATTGCTCTATACCTGACATAGTTGTGTTTAAAAAATGCCAATCTAAATCTTGCCATTTGGGGAAGTTAGTTTCAATTGCTGCCATTAAATATTAAAGCTTAATATAACATTAAAAAACATACTTTTATTGATATGTAATTCCTCTTTTTATAAATAGATGGCATTTAAAAACTGGGTACTGTGCAAAGCTACAATAGTCTCAAAAATAATAATCTACAAGAAATGTTAAGTTACTATAAAAAAATAAGGGTTTTAAACGGGATGCTTAGTATTCTACATTCAGGTGCAGAATCACGCACTCACAAAAAACGTGATTTCTAAGAAAAAGTGATAAATCCAAGAAAAATAAATAATTAAAAATGTTCAATAAAAAATAGGCTATTCACCATATTATGAAATGAACATTGTCAGCAATGCTAGGGAAAACTAATATTGTTTTAAGAGTGAACAGCTATACTAATACATTTTTTCATATTTCCTAAGAAATAATAAAAGAATCATTTCATATCTTCGGAATTGCCTAGATCATGCGATTTACCATATTTATCAATAAAGCTTTTAGTGATTTGAGGGACCGACATATTACAAAAGGAAAATAATGTTTTTAACGACACTATGCTAAAAAATTTAGCAATACATTTGTAGCTTGTGATAATTATTTAGGTTATTATATGGAATAATTACACAAAATTTTATAAGCATAGCTTTATTAATAAAAACATTGGCATTTTTAAAAAAAACTAATTTTTTTTTTGTC